AACCCCTTGCACCGCCTCCCTCTGGCTTCCCCAAGATGGCTTCCATGCCCGCTCCTCCGGGGCCCGCGGCACCCCCGGGCAGTGGTCCCCCAGTCAACATGTTCTCAAGGAGAGCCGGTAAGATTAAAAGATCTCACAGAAGCTTTTAAACCACGCCTACTCTTAACTCATTCAGTACCAGCCAATTCTAGACCAAGTCCGAAAAGACGTTTCAAAACGTCTTTGGGAGTGAATGAGTTAATGGAGGCAATTGTAAAACACACGGCGGGGGCGGGGGCGGTGAATTCCTCGCGATGGGGCTCAGTTTCCCATCCGCCCCGCCCTGTGCCAAGGTGGGGCTCAACATAATTGAGCGTCTTATTTTGTTCCATCCTCCTCAGGCATAAAGAGCCGATACGTGGACGTGCTGAACCCCGGTGGAGGTGCCAAACCAGCCGGGATGGCTCCCGCTCCTCCGATGGAACTCTTTGCGCCTCTCGCACCGATGGCCATGCCCGCCAACTTATTTGTGCCTAGTTCAGGTATGTGACACCAAAACTCCGTTTCCATACTACGAAGAGCTTCAAAGTGTGAACATTATGACTTGAGCAATGTTCTGCTGCAGCTCCCAAAGATCAACAACCTCTGGAAGGCAGCGAAGGAGGAAATCAGGAGCAGATGTCACCAAACAGCTCCGTTCCACAGGTAGGTTATTGAGGTCTCAAGTTTGAGCCTCAAAAAAAAATTAAAAATGAAGGCTCGGATAGATACAGACGCCTTGTCGAGTAGTCTCACGCTTGGATTCAGGACACAGCTTTAGTTTCAGTGTCGTCGTTTTGTCCATAGTGTTAAATTCATTTTGGTGAGTCTTGCAGAGGTTCTGAAAGCCGAAGGTCTCGTTTGCACTCTTAAAAACCTTGCAGATGTTCAACCCGACGCTGTTACCGCCGGCCCCGCAAGGTCCCCCCGCCCTCGACGGCTCACATTCTGGAGAGGTGAGACGACTCGCCCCTTTTGTCTCCAGCCGACTCTCTGCGTCCGTCCGTGTGTGTGACTGCAAACGCGTGATGACGTCATAATCGCATGTCCATCGAAAGTCTTTTGCTCATCATCTCGCTCGGTGTGTCTTTTTAATCCAAATATCTCTTCATGTCTGTTTTTTTGCCAATCATTTTCACAGTTCTTGCCACCATCCCATTAGTGCCGACTTAATGCGCCGATGCATGGGAGATGATTAATAAGGCTTTGTGGTTTGTTTTCTTGTCTGTTTTCCTCCCCCTCTCCCTGCCGCCCTCAGCTGTCACGTTCTAGCTCAATGAGTTCTTTATCACGCGAAGTGAGTCAGCATTTAAACCAGGTACCTCGTTTATTTTGGGTTTTTTTTTTGTTTTGTTTTTGTTTTTTGTGGGAGGTTTTCCACTGCTCCAACGCCCACCCCGACATGCTGTCGCCCGCCGTCGCCCGCTCGCCCTCCCTTGCTTGTTGCATCACTAGTTTGACCAGATCTCACATGTGGGATGTGTGCCTGCTTGACCTGCCTGCACCGCTTTTCTCCACCATTTATGATCAACTATTTTTAAGAGACACGGACGGTCATGTCGACTTTGAATTTAAGAGCATTTTTTTTAAAGTTACTTTGAGACTTATTCGCTCATTTTTTGTGTTTGGTTTTTTTTTTCATGTCATCGGATGATATCTCTTGGCAACTAAATGAATGTATCATTTTAATGGATTTCTTTGCCATTGCACGACAGTAAGATAATGGGGCATGCTGGGTAGTCATTGGTTAGAAGTTGAAATATGGCTTTGATCAGAGTGAAGCATGTTTGGCAATCACGAGTAAAACAGTGCGAAGAGTGCTGTGGAGTCATTGGACATTGATGTGGGGGGGGGGGTCTTTGTTGTTGGCTTTGATTTTGAAAATGTAAAAAGGTTCTGGAATGTGAATTGGTGGAACAGGTGGAAGCTGGAATGATTTGAATCGGTCGAAAAATGTTGAAATAAGTTATCATGAAGAAAATAAGGGCGCATTGTATTTTTGAAATGGTGGAAATTTGGGGGGGGGGATAGTAACGCGCTGAAGAGAATCAGAAAATGGAAATTAGAGGTCCATGAACCACCATAAAAATTCTGAGTTTTTATTTTTAATTTGGGTGAGAAGAGGAACGAGCTGAACAATTTGAATTTGTCATGGTTTGAATCTGTCACAAAATGGGGTAATTAGAAGTTCTTAATTTGGGGATTTTGCTTTTAAAATCTAAATAATTTTTGAAATGAGAATGAACTGAATTGATTGAATGGTTAAAATCGGTCAAGGAAAAAAAAATCTTAGTTTGGGGCTTTTAGTTTGAAAATAAAAGATTTAGAACGGGTTGAAATTGGAGTCTCTTGAATCGGAGGAAAAAATATTTCTAAAATGATAAATTTGGGGCTTTAATTTTGAAAATGTGAAAATAAAATGTTTGATAGTTATTGATAATTGAAGTGTGCTAGTGGGAAGGCATCGGTTCGACTAAAATATTTTCCCGCCGTCACTGGTCAGCTGAAGAATGAGAGGAAAGAATTCTGGTCAAAAGGTGTTGACACGTTTGTCAGAAATGAGGCATATTTGGTAGCCATTGGTCAAAAAGCGAGGCGAGCTGTGTCACCGTTGGTCAGAAAGTGAAGCATGCTGGGAGACGGGTCATCAATATGTTGTGATGACGGCGCGCAGCTCCATTAACCCTCCACCTAGTTTGCATGGTTACTAAACATCGAGTGAAACCTCACCTCCACTGTGCATTCAAAAATACGAATGATGTCAACATTTGCTTGCCTTGTGTATTTGGAATGTGACATCAGGACTGAGAGTTTTTGTTTTTTGTATTTTGTAACGGCCGCAAATATGCCATCTCTGGCCGCAATCGTAAACCGTCTCTGCTTGTCGTTGCAGAGTCATCCGGGCCTGAGAGATGCACCTGTTGGGGGCGGCGTCTTTTTATAACCCAGCACAGGTAACGATCAATAAAATGTCTTTTTTTTTTTTTTGGCTGCGGTTTCATGAATTCGTTCGTAGGATCAATAAAATGTCTTTTTTTTTGGCTGCGGTTTCATGAATTCGTTCGTACTTTCCACAGACGCCTGCGAGCATCATGATGAGACGCCACCGTGTCGTAAAACACTCGGCGGCTACCCGGAAGCCGATAAATGTCGAGTTGAGATGCTGCGTTTTCTCCCGGCGGACGGCCCAACCACTCTTTAATTCCTGAAAATCTATTTAAAAAAAAAAAATAATCATACGCCTGGTGTTTTTCTCTTTTTCTGAAGCAGTACTATTACACGGGCATCATTTAATGTACAAATAAAAACTCCTCTCGGCTTTAATGTTAGCACAAGCAGGTTTCTGTATCTTCTCCCTCTCGTGTCTTAAACTTGCAGCTTCATCTACAAAGAACTTTTTTTTGTTTGTTTGCTTTTTTTTTAATTTCATATAGTGGTCTCGTAATAATGTTCTTCTGACGGCAACATGAGAACCACCGGTCTTGTAGTGTGTCGTCTGCTATGTCTTGTGTCCCTCTACTGACCCCTCAAAAGAACCAGACTGGATGTGAGGACGCTGCATGTTTCCACATATTTATTTAAAAGCCCGCCTGTGAATGAAACGACGTAACTTTAAAGTCCAAATATCTTGTCATGAGCGAGAGGTGACCAGCAGTAATCATAAACCACCACATGCAAAAAAAAAAAATCTATCTAAATGTTTGTATATCAGATCGATTGTATTTATGAGCTGGTGGCATCAAGGAATGCGTGAGTGTGTGGAAAACAAATTTGTGTGCGATTAGCTTTGATGAATCATTTAAAGCAATGTCACCCATTCATGTTTGTAACGACCCATGGCTACAAATCCACATTGTAAAATGAGAGCAAGTTGTACTTGTAAGTACACACACTGTAATTTACTAACGTAATTTTTAATGGAATTACTTCTCAGCCCTTCAGCTCACCTTATATTTAATTCCATTTTTTTTTTGTTTTGTTTTGGAGACTTGATTTGAAAAGGTCCCCCCTTTGTTTCAACAAATGGATTGTGTAAAATACAAAAAAAAAGGCAAATACACAATAAAAGGTATTTTTGCGCTCGAGCACTTTGAAACGTGTCTGTTTCCTTTGCATACGTAGTCTTCATTAAAAAAAAACTAAATATCTGTGGGATGTTTGTGTTAAAATACCCAAATGATATTACAATTTTACAGCAATTTAGCAACAAGAGGTCAGCATCTTGCCAACAAATGTGCCGCTTTGTTCAATGGCGAATATTTGTAGCAGATGCGCAACAGCTGGGCGTTTTGGGAATGTGGCATATAGTTTCCAGCGTGTTCTGCACTTTGTGAATATGTAGAAGTTTGATTTGAATTGGTTGAAGAATGTGTAAATGTAAAAAAAAAAAAAACAAAGTGCGGAGAATTTAAACATGTTTTGGGACCAGAATCATTGCAAACGCAACATTGCTCGAAACTAAAGCTAGAAACACTATTAGCCCATCGCATGATGATCATCAAAACAAAGAGTCGTGTGTGCGTGTGTGTGTGTGTGTGTGTGTGCGTATGTGTGTGTGTGTGTGTGTGCTCAGTTTGTTCATGAATATTCTTACCGTTAGATGGCAGTAGTGCCTGTTGCGTGGAGTTCCATGATCGGATGTTATGGTGAAGAAACAGGAAATACAACTTTACTCGGGCGCTATGAGGTTCTTTAAGTACAGGTTCGAACGGCCTAAGCGCGTAACGCCCGTCACTACTTGACTAGACTGAAATAATATTTCTTAAACCTTAAAATCGAACGTGTCTCGGTGCACGTTGAAGCGACTGCATAAGTCTTAGCTTAGCATATGTTAACTTGCCGGCTGGACACCGAGACGTTTTTTTGTTAAGCGACACGCCGCTAATTGGGACGTGAGTGTGAGGACTGGAGAGCGCTTGGGGGAACTCTGTGGAGCTCAAGAGGAGAGCGAGCGACGTCATCAGCATCTGGACGCTGATTGCGAGATGCCTCCAATGGTGCGACACACGACAGGTTTGCTAACTTCTTGGACGCTCATTTTGTTTAGTCGTGAGAGACTGTCGAGTTTGTCATGTTGTTGTTTGAGATCGAGAAGGTTCTCGATTACGAGTCTTAAAAGCCACAGATATTGTGTTCTAGGAGTCAAAGGTTCCATTTGTCAAGGAATTGATCAGTCGAGGCAGGTGAACAGTTTGCCAAATACTTGAATTGGCGGCTTAAAAAATGGACAAAGAAAAAAAAATTGTGACGGCGATAGTTCATTAAATAACTTGTGCGGAAGTCTCTTTTACAGTAACTTTGTGGTATGTTTTGGCGTATGTTGGAACAACATCCAAATTTCAAGTGCGTTCACGTTGCCATGGCAATAAAAGTGAAAAGCATGCAAAACAAATTGATCCGATTTTGGCGTCTCTATGACATCGATGCTACTCATGCCATTAGCTCACCCACTTTGTAGTTGGTACACGCCCACTCAGCTCAGAAAAAAAAACCTAGACTTTGCATCACCTGCTTATCTCAGAGGTGTTGATGAACTAACGCGTTCCGAGTACAACCAACCCGTGAGACAACGCGGTCTTTCCTACACAACATCAAAGTCACAGCATGACACTTGACCTGACCAATGCCTGTTTATCGTGTGTCCTGCAGGCACCAGTGAAAACGCTCTCCATTCTCAGCAACAGGATCCAGAGTCCCCCCACGTCAAAGAGGAAGAGGAGTCACTCATTTACATTAAAGAGGAGGAGCCGGATTACCCTCACATTAAAGAGGAAGTGGAGACCACCTATGTCAAAGAGGAGGAAGATGAGCCCCCCTGCAGTAAAGAAGAAAGAGAGGATGAGCTCACCAACTTTCCTTTGACTTGCGTCGTCGTGAAGAGTGAAGAAGATGAAGCTAAAAGTCAGAGTGAGGAGAACCGAGGGACGGAGCCTGCAAGCAGCACCTTAAATCAACACACGGCAACAGAAGGTGACGGTGGCCACTGTAGAGGAGCGCAATTGGACGGCCTCTTGGCTCCACTAACTGACAGTGATGACATAAAGTCACACTCTTCTGACACTAATGTGGATGATGATGAGGAGGAGGAGGAAGAGGAGGGTGGCACTGGGGTGAAACCTTTTGCCTGTTCAGTTTGTTCAAAAAGATTCTCACGAAAAACAACTCTCGTAACCCACAATAGAACGCACACAGGGGAGAAACCTTTTGCCTGTTCCATTTGTGGTAAAAGATTCATCGAGAAGGGACATTTAATACGGCACACGAGAACACACACTGGCGAAAAACCTTTTGCGTGCTCAGTTTGTGGCAGGCGATTTGCTTTGAAGATAGATTTGATCAGACACACGAGAACGCACACCGGGGAGAAACCTTTTGCCTGCTCAATTTGCAGTCGGCGATTCACTTTGAAGACGTACCTGATAAGACATACAAGAACACACACTGGGGAAAAACCTTTTGCCTGCTCAGTTTGTGGCCGACAATTCACCATGAAGACAGATCTAAGAAGACACACAAGAACACACACTGGGGAAAAACCTTTTCCCTGCTCAGTTTGTAGTCGACAATTCACTTTGAAGACAGATTTAATAAGACACACAAGAACACATACCGGAGAGAAACCTTTTACTTGTTCAGTTTGTGGAAAAACATTCTCTCGAAAAACAAGCCTAACAACACACAAAAGAGCACACGCCGGGGAGAAAAGTTTTCCTTGCTTAGATTGTGGTCAAAGTTTTACCTTGAAAGTGCGTTTGGAAAAGCATGCAAGACGACACACTGGAGAAAACTCTTTTATTTGCTCAGTTTGTAATCAAAGTTTCTCCAGAAAGGCACATTTAACAATGCATGCAAAAACACACGCTGAAGAGAAACCTTATTCCTGCTCGGTTTGTGGTCAGACATTCTCGCAAAGGGGCCACTTTACAAATCACACTAGAACGCACACTGGGGAGAAACCTTTTCACTGCTCGGTTTGTGGGGAGAGATTCACCTTTAAGTTAAATTTAACAACACACACTAGAACACACGCTGCACAGAAACATTTGGGGAGCAACGGTTAATTCATTTTTCATTCGTTCAGATATACTGCATGTCGCTCATTTACATTAAGAATCAAATCTGCATTAAAAAAAAAATGAATTGATTTGTTTCCCGCAACACCAGTCAATGTAACACTAGTAAACTTTGAATGCCTTTGCAAAAGTGAAAATAAAATGTGTTCCAAGTCTATAAAACGAGGGTTCGAAATGATGACAAATCAAACCCTCTTCCCCACTGTCGATTGCTGTAATGTGCAAAACCACGCCTACACGGAACTACGTTTTGGCGTCATGAAAATATATGCTTTGAAAGTGTGGAGGTCAATTTTATTTGTTTGTTTTACTATGACCTAATTACAGCACAGAAATGTTGTTCATACAGGTATATACGGCATGACATAGGCAGTAGTGTCGAACTCATTTTTGTCACGGTCTACTTTGGAGTTACGTCTTCGCTCGCAGGGCCGTTACGTCAGTGAAACCAAATAAATGTTAAATCGTCTCATCGTATTATTACTTGTACACAACAAACGGATGGATTACTCGTTTTGAAAATGAGTCAACTATCGTAGTTTGTTATTTTTCAAGTGAGTGTAAATAGGGTAACGAAATTATTGCAAAAATCTCCCATGTTATTACGCATGACAATTTGACACTTTGGTACGGATTTGAGCACGGATCATGGAAGTTGACACACACAATTTGCTTTCGCGGGCCACATAAAATGATGTGGCGGGACGGCTCTGGCCCCCGGGCCTTGCTTTGGAAACCTCTGACGTAGCGTGTTATGTTCGTACAAAAGTTATGTCGAGTTGTAGAAACGACTTAGAGTACGTTCACGCGTTGTGACTCAAGAGACACTTACGGCACCCACTTTGCACCCTTGGCCATTTTGGTTTGCTGTGCTTATACATAGTTGTTTTTTTTTTCTTTCTATCGTGACTTTCTAGTTGACGTAATGTAAATCGTGGCGTCTTCTCTAAATGATGCTGTCTGCCACTTAATCTCAAAGTGTGTTTTTGACAGAAATCGCAAAAATAATACAACAGCAACTACTATGACCGAATTTTGGCGCTGAAGTGTTGTTCATGCGTGCACCTACGCCATGACATCAACGTTATGTTCGTACAATATTTACGTCGGTGTCGTAAGAACGACCTCGGAATACAGTGCAGTATTTGGGTTGGATAACCTGTTGTTAGGCTGCAATTATTTCGCCCACCACTAGAGGGAGCCCGCGTACAATTAGACACCTACAGTACCGCACTGAAATCACGAGTTTAAAGGTACGACTGCGACCCTCGTGGGGAATAGCGGCTCGGATAATGGGTGGATGGAACCAAGGTTTACAATAAATAAATTGAATCACGTAATTTAGACCCCTTAATGGTTTATGTGCTATAACTCTTATTCAGTCCAACCATAACGACACAATGACAAAGTTTGAAACTTCTTCATTACAGGTAGCTCACGTGCTTGTTTGTTTCATACTTTTGCTTTGACTTGTCCACTGAAATGAAAACCCACCCGCCTACTTACACACTCAGATGTGGAGCCGACAGACCCAAGGGGGGGGGGGGCAGGTTGGAACAAACTTTGATGCTGAGATAGATGTTTGGAGCCACGTTAAAGTGAGATAAGACATAATCTTGTGGTATCAATAGGCAATTTTGAAACTTTTTAGCACCTTGAAAATGTGAGCGAAATGATATAAAGTCAAATTTTGATGGGAAACGGTATGGATGCGGTAGTGTCGGAACGGATAAATTGTTCTTCCATTAATTCTGTATTGTATAAATGAATAGTATATGACATGGTCCTTGCAATTCAAGTCGAGGGATCGGATGGGGGGGGGGGGGGAACCCTATCTTCCCGCTTGTTCACAGAAAAGCTATATTTTAATATTTGGCAGTCAAAACTCCAAGGAGGCCTCCCAACTATCAGTTAGATCCTTTGAGCTTTGTTATAATGATGCAGACTCGCTGAACAATGGCAGTGGAGTGAGTTCTCAGCTTTGGCAGGTGTATGATGGCCGAGATAGGGCAAGTCACTTGTGTTGAAGGGGTGATAGGCTTGTGTATAGGTGTTTGGGATGTGGGCTTTATTGTCTTTACAGGATGCGCAGATGAGGGTACTATCAGGCTAGTCATATCAGTGCATCGCAAAGAACAAGAGTCCACTGTGGATGTTTGTACATATGGTACACTCGGGGTGAAATTTCAGGAAGAACAAAAATGCACTTACAACCTTTCGACTTGATCTTGATATTCTCAAGACATATTGTGTTCTTTGACAACATAAGCCAGAGTTGGCCAAACGTTTTCCTCCGTGGGCTACTACAGAAAAATCAAAGGACGCAAGAGCCACTTTTACATTTAAATAAAAAGTTAAATTCATCGAGCGCACCAAATTAGTCAATGAAGTTTCCATTTCGTTCATACATTCCAAAAAACTCAGTTTGAGGAACCACTTCCCCGAGGAGCAGTGACACTGAAATTACACGACAGATTGACCGGAAGCAAATAAAATTACTCCAACGACTCAATACGAGACGAGACGAGATGCAATTATAACCACTTGAAATTTGCGGTAATCTTCTTTCAGCATCGATGAAAGATTGAGTTATTGGACAAGGCAACAGCGGTTGCATGTCATGTTTTTCCAAGATTTTCTTACAAGCTGCAGACTGGGAGACTCGTGGTAGGAGACCGACACAACCGAGGGCTTGGAGGGCTGGTGGTGGGAGTTGCGGACGTTACATCTGTTCCTGCCACTCCCCAGGGCCCTGGGAGCATGGGAACCTCGAACAGAAAACAGCGCTTGCAGGGGGCTTCCCAAAGTACACTTCATTTATCAATCGAGGTAAACTGAGCTAAAGGTTGTCTCGCGTGTGTGTGTGTTGCAGCGAAGGATGCTTTCGTTGGAGGAGTTGAATCACTGCGCCATTAATTATAGTGCTGGGAAAATGGACACGTCGTGTAAACAGAAGCGTTATTGAGTTCTGCTTGCGTAAATGTATGCCAAAAAGCAATCTTAGCAATGTAAACATGACTTGTAAAAGTGGGGACGGAAATCTTGTCCTTTTGGAAATCAAATGATTTATTGATTTCTTTCCCATGGATGACACTGACCCGTTTTGTGAACAGATCAGGCGAGGTCACCCTGTAAGCAATCTCGAGCAGATTATTTATTTTGGACTCCTCCGTGACAAGCTTGTCAGTGAAACAGCCAAGGCAGCCAAAGTCTGCCCGGGAGCCTAAAATCCTTCAAACGACAGACATGACATCCGCTGCTGTACGATGACTCAAATGCGTGCGTGATCGTGGGGGTTCCGTGTCGACAGCCAGGCCCTCCGTGTCTTAAAACGCCGACGACTGCTGAGTGCCAGCCGTTGGCTATCACTTCAAGTCGTAAAGCCGGCTTCCCTTCGAAATCTTTTTCCCAGTTGTGGAAAGGAACCAAATACCAATACTTCATTACTGTACTTCACTATTTTTTTTTCAGTTGCCCGGATTTGACTGAGTATTCATTTTTCTGCTGACTTCTCATTTTTACTCACCATTTTTGAAAACAGATATCTCTATTGAACTACTACTTTTGCAATCCCTGCCTGTTGAAGAGATACCCGAGGAGGGCTACTGCTGGTTTTCTCAGCAAGGATCCTCAAGGGGAAGCTATGGGAGGGAGAGAAGAGGGCTGCGAAGCGTTTGCCTTGCGTGCTGTCGGCCTGCCGCGCCAGCGTGAGGCACATGGTGCCAACAGCTGCCTCGCTGAAATGCTAACCCCTCTAAATGCTCTCCCCTGTAAACAAAACTAGGCCCCGACACATGCCGGTGGGGGAACCGGGGGTGAAGATGGGGTGCGCAGTGCGATCGGGGTGACCCGGCTGACACCGTAGAGAAAGAAGCGAATGACACCCCCCACCGCCCCCCGCAGAATGGCGGTCGCCATTCCAGGGGGCCGACGGCGAGGGAAATCCCAAACCATCTTTGGCGAACAGCGCCGTGCAGAGCACAAGTCGCAGTCTGTATGTTTACATTTGGAAAGCATCGGATGACTGCACGGCGCTTTTGTGTTGGCTTGGTGAGTTCTTCTCGACTTGAGGGTTTTAAAATAATATTATGTTTGTGCAGTGGTCAATACGTCAATACGCTTCAGCGCAATAAACGGCGACAATCAATTTCAAATGCAAGCAAATTGAGTTGTGAGGTGGTGACCCAACGGATTAAATTCGTAACTCAAGGTACTGTTTTCTTAGCCTCTTTTGCTAATCCTCAATTTGTGTCTATTTTGGGGTGTAACTATTGGGGCGACACGAGAGCGTGTGAATGGCGGTCATCTCATCCCAACCTGCCCGGGGACTCCAGGGAGAGTTAGGAGGGCGCTTAAGTGAGAAGCAAGGTCACGGTGACAGTTGTCGGCCCCTCACGCGTACCATTTGGACAGAAAGTGATACGGCGGACAGCTGAGGCCGCTTGGCTCTCTCGCAAAGGGGTTCATTCGGAGCATCTTTACATTCACTTTGCTCGGGCACCGCTTGTAATGAACGTGGAACAGGAGGGCGAGTGGAAATCTCAGCATCTGTGCCAATTTACACAAACCCCCCCGGCCCTCCCCCCCCTCCTGTCTCCGACACACGCCGATTTACACTTGTCACGATGAGAGGCCACAAAAGAGATTCCTGAGGTTTTTGCAGCCACCCAAAACTCCTCTACAGGTGGTCCCTAAAATAAACAATGGCGAAACAAGATGAGGACACAAGATAGTCCATGAGTGGAATCCATCTGGTCAAATATGAAATGTGTGTGCTGTGTGCTAATGATTCTCGTTTATTGTGCAATTATCTAATTGTAACATGTATTTGTTTCATATTTTGATGCATTTTTATACTTTAGCAAACGTGTCTGAATTTGGGGGGCGCTCGGAACGGATTAGGGCATTTACATGGAAAATGCGGCTCACTTACAAAATTTTTGAGTTCAGAAATTTCTTCCGGAACCAATTAATTTCGTAAGTCGACACAGAGTGGACAATGACAGGGTGGACATTTTTAGTTCATGCTCGCATTTTTTTATGAATGGTAATGAGTGGATGTCTTCTTTAAAGGGCCATTTTAATGGCTCACTCGTGGGGAGATGCTCTTGCATTTTTAGCTTGTGTTTTTTTTTTTTCCCCCAGTTTGTCCTTTCTGAGCCACTTGTCACAGACTTGTGAATTAGAGCCCATTTCCTGCACTTTCTCACTGCGGCGTTGAAAAAGTGGGTGCGTGCGTGCGCGTGCATGGGTGCGTGTGCGGGGGACAGCACGGAGCCTGGCCTTCCTGTGCTTCATTGTCCGCCAGTACTCATTAATGGACGCATACAAATGCAGGCCCGTTACCTTTTTCAACTTTGCCAAATAATTTTTAAAAAGTGTGGAAATAGAGAGAGGTAAGGTTAACCACGCTTGAGATCTTAAGTGACTGAGAATTTCGGGTTTCGAATATATCTACAACAAATCCCTGGCTCTTAGGAAAGTAGTAATTGTGTCAGGGAAGTATTGTTCAAATGATCCAAATGAAAGGACTAAGATCGTCGCATGTCAAGTTGAAGCAAGGTTTAGCCTGGGTTGTTAGTGGAAGTTACATGTGCACATAAAAGTGTACTTCTGGAGCATTTTTTTCCAAAAAAATGAAATCATCTGCAAAGCATTTATTTTATGGGTATTGTGAGATGATTTTGAAAGGATATTAATTCTGTTATATTTATCATTTAAAATCTTAGCGGTAATCGTATACATTTTTAAAGGGCATCAATTACTCATGTTTTTAAGCGTCCAGAAACTGGCGAACACACGTCACATTCCCGCGACTTAGCACTCTCGTGAGAGACCTCAAAATGGTGGGCCCCACAAGCAAGTACACCAAGGTAGGTAGTTGTGATGTTAAGAACGTATTTTTGGGAAATACTTTGTATTAATATTATTATTTTTTTAACCCTTTCATCCACGCTGTAACCTGATAACATGATCAACTGTCCACTGTAGTAACTGCTGTCTCTGAAAGGGTTAATTTCAGCCAATATGTGTTTTGATTTGCTTTTAGCTATGTTTATTTACCACATACACTAGTCTGACTTCTTCACAGCAGTGTCTGGGCATGTTTTACAATTGCCTAAAAAAAAAAAAAAACCAAAAAGTTTCAAACGCAAACAGCTCAAATGCAATGGACAATGGAGAAAGGTGATAATTGGGACACCTGAGGACCTCTGTTTTCTGCTTCAGAGGCGTCTATATACTCCTGAGACAAAACAAACAGATGTGGAGGGCTTGAGGGGTGGGCTCAAGGGGGGGGGTGTCAATGTTCGTATTGATAAAAGCCAAGAGTGCTTTCCCACTCACTTATCTCGCAAGAGGCTGTTTTCCGACAAACATTGGCAAATTCCAGCTGAGCGTGTCGGTAAACGCCAAGCCATCAAAACTGGAGAGGTGTGAGAAAACCTTTGCATTATCTTTCAAAATGCGCTCTTTGGGGGTACTCTGTCTTCGCTAAATGCAATGTATGTCAATTACAAGTGATTTATCGATATTATAGAACTCAAATATATATTTTCTTTTCACCAATTACTCGGAAAAGATTTGGAATGACATCCCAGTCGCCTTTTTTGTACTACAAAATCCTGGCGTGTATCGACGAGGTGTAAAGACCGTTTATATTAGCACGATCCGTCTTACTAGCAATCAAGCCAGCTATGCAAATCTAAATATATCCCCCAAATAGTTTGATACTCCACAGTGCATTAGTGACGCGTGCACCCGCCCCGCCCCACTCCCCCCCCACCACACTCCACCAGCTGTGACGGAAGGGGGCGGGGTTAAAGTGGGAGGACCAGAATTCACCGCGAAGCTTCAACACCTCATTAAGAACTCCGCAGGCGCCAAGTTAACGTCGACGACCCAACTCTGTGCTCTCCGCGAGGAATTATTGGTGGAAAAAACAAAGTTTTGTGTGTGTGCGTGCGTGCATGGTGTTTGATATTTTTTCTTTTTTTTTTTTTTTTCTCACGCCGAACACCTGGAGTACACCCCTCCCGCCATTGTGGATCTATGCTAACACTACGCGGGACTCAAGCACGGTTTGCGAAGTAGAAGAGGAGGAATGTATCGTTTCTTTGCGAGACTAGCATTTCTCCTTGCGACCGTTATTTTCGTCTCACAAGGTAAAACGTTGTTTTTGTACTTTTTTTTTTAACTTGTGGGGGTTGACGTTGAGTCTTGGGTGTGCGTTTTGGGCACAAGTGTGCCACCGGGCACAACCGACGACGTGCACATTTGCATTCACTGGATTTAATTTGAGCCAAACGGAGTTAACTTTGCGTAATATCTGTATATTTTAAATATCCTACTGTCCCCTAAAAACTTTGGGTGTAAAATGTTACTTTAATGCATTTAAAAATGAAAAGAATGTTCTCCGTGTGGAACTTCGTACACAAAGTCTAAATGTGTTGAATTGAGACGGTTTTGAAAAACATGCAGGATAATAGAAGTTGGTGCGTGTCTGGAAGGGCCAGGGGGGACGCTCGAGGGGACTTTCCGGGGGGCTAGGGGGGGCACCTTTTGTCTGCATGTGTGGGAGAGTGTGTGTGTGAAAGGTGGGAGGGAGTCTGAGTGTGGAGGGGGTAAACAATGCACGAGGAGAATGTTTTATGGCTCGTGCTGGACTGATTTCTTTTGTTCCCTGTTTGAGACCAGCAGCTGCCGCGCGTTTTTTTTTTAAACTCCCACCCCGCCCCCTCCCGTCAAAGTGTGCTCAGCCCCCCTTAGGAAGGCCACTGCACCATCACGATGCGCAGCCCTCGTGTCCCACCTGTGTCCTTTACACCCCCCCCCCCACCACCACAGACACACACACACTATTTACAATGTAAAATATCAGCTTTATAGCATGTGTATTAGAGTGAGTTGTGTTCCCCCATGGGGGTATATAATGACCAGAATGCATTATATGAAATACCAATAAAGTTTTTTGTGTGCATTCAACAGGTCTTAAATGCTCACTACCCACTGAGTCTTGCCTAAATGGAGGAAGATGTGAAGCCGCCCCCAATGGGAATGGAGACTGCAAGTAAGTAAATCAAAACTTTTACTTTGTTGGGCTGTCTCGGAATTGTATTACTTTTGGGAGTATAGAAACAAAAAACGGGGCAAGCCTCATATTGCCCTGTTCCCATTCCAGCCTTTGAGTAGCCTCTGCGCCCGGCAACCAGAGGCCCGGCGACCCTCCTCTAGCTCCGATGTATTTATTTATTTTTTTTTAGTTACCCCCGCCACAGGAGCCAACCTCAAAAAAAGGAAAGAAAAGGGGCTCAACGGGCCTGGAGATGTGCAGAAGGGGCCAATGGGACAAAAGCCCCTCCTACCCCACTGTCGGTTAATGAATGCAAGACCCCCTCAACTGCAAAGTGCGAGTACGCGTCCAGCCCTAAATCTTGTTTTTCTGCTCTTTCACTGGGGGCGACAGCTGGGGCTCGCCCGCCGCCCGTCGCCCATTGTTGTGCAGTGGGGGGATAATGCTGTGTGACTAATCGGAGTGGGCCTTCCCATCCTGCCACAGACACCCCCAAACACTCCCCAAACCTCTGGCATAAACCCCTCCCAAAACACTACCTCTCCGCATCAAAAAGGCTTGTCTCCAGCTTACTGAATGGATTTAGCCCACCCCTCCGACCTCAACCCTTTGCATCGCTCGTGTGTGATCTCCATTAGAAGGCCAGATGGCTGCGAAATCTAATTGGTTTGGATGTCAACAGCGTGAGATTGATTGGACTAAAGTGCTGAAATTTGAAGGCAAACAAGTGGGAGTCGAGGGAGGGTGGGGGGGGGGGCTGAAGAAGTAAAATTGTGGGCTGTTTCTGGGATTTCTGAGATTTCTGATTTTACCGGGCCGAAGGTTTAAGATGATACCCCTGGACTGGTTGTCAGCCAAACAAGCATTCACACTCGGATTTATACCCAATACATCCAACATGGATATTTTGGTCGTCTTGACATATTTTCGAGCTCACTTCTCTTTTTTGACCTTAAATGAAGAAAATACAAGACGGAACGAGGAGTGAAAATGATCTTTTGGTTCTTGTTGAGGAGTCCCTTCCTCCATTGTGACTCTGGGGTGGCCCCTCATCCCGACACCCCCGCACCCCCCCTCGGGGCATGTGGTCGCGGCTGGCGCCTCTTTCTGCTGTGTGGGGACAAAGGGGGGGCATTGAGGATGCGATGCTACTAGCCTGAGGCCATCAATTCACAGTATCTAATCTGCACACTCATCCCCCTTCACCCCAAACACACACTCTTGTCTACACGTGTGCATATGCTCGCATCTACACGGGCATCCTCCGCCTCTACAAAGCCTTGCACTGTGTCACTGTGTGGTTCCGTCCCAACTTGACAGGATAGACGCACTGCCTGCGTTCTTCCTCCTTCCCTCCTATCAATCATTCTGAACCAAGCAGCCGTCGGTCACAGAGAGCGCCGGGAGCTCGCCACTCAGCATTACCGATCTTTTTTGGACCACCAAGCGGTGTGCGCACATTGGGGAGAATCCTATCGGCGCTGTATTCGTGCCTCGGCATGGAAGCATATGGTGACACAGTTGACAGTGGGTAAAGATCGA